GGGGCACGTGCGGGAGGCAACCAACTGATGTGTCTCTCAAACATTGATGTTTCTCTCTGTCTCTTCCCCACTCTTCCACTCTCTTTAAAAAACCAATGGAAAAATATCCTCAGGTGAGGATTAACAACAATAACAACAAAATCCTTGGTAGTCTATCTGCAGTCCATCTCCATGACCACCTTTTTTCCTCTTACAATAAAACTTCCAAAATCAGCTAGAACTGGATTTTTGTACCTTTAAATTAAAAAAGAAAAACAGAGTAAAACAAACAAATGGTAAAATCATTCCTAATTTAAACACATCCTTGGACTCTTACCCTCTTGTATCACGGCTAACTCTAAATCTTGGTTACCAACAAAACACATCACATGGGGGCATTGTGGAACTGCCCAGCTCCAAAAGTTTCTGGGGCAGAGCTAGGGGTCTGAGCTAGCTGCCTGGGGCCAAGAGGGTTAAGCAACAGTCTTGTTTGGTGTTTTTATCTGCTGTAAGACTTAATACCATAAACACTATTTTGCAGGTGCTGTCCCAGCCAGGAGTCATGAATTTCCACTGTGCAGTGATTAGGGGGCTCTCTGAGCTTCCAAGGGAAAGTGAAGGGTTCAGAGGTGGTAGGAGGCAGCCTGCATTCCCTGGGAGCAGGGACAGGTAGAGGAACAATTGCCTCATGGAAAAGCAAAGGAGCTGTGGGGACCAGCATGCTACCTAAACCCAGCTCACCTCCGCCAGCCCCTCCAGCCACACATGTCATGCAAGAGGCTTGCAGGAAAAAGCAGGGTGCCTAGATCAGCTGAACCAAGGACCTGGCAAAGGAGGCCAGGCTCATGGGAACCAGCATAGACAATGACATCAGAGCATTGACATCACTGCCTAACTTCCAATCAGAAGGTGCTCAGAACATTAGTTCTTAGAGGACCAGAGCTCTGAGCAAGGAGACTCCTGCCCAGTTCTGCCCCACCCTGCCATGGGCTCCAGGCTCTTCTGCTGTGTGGCCCTTTGTCTCCTGGGAGCAGGTATGTCCTTGGCACAGGTGGGGCATCTGTTCTAAGCCTGAAAGCACCTGCATCCAAGGCAGGATCAGGGTCCCTCCCCTGTTCTTTTTCCAGCTTCTGTCTCCTTCCCTCACAGGCCCAGTGGATTCAGAAGTCACCCAGACTCCAAGGCACCTGACAAAAGCCAGAGGACAGACAGTGACACTGGGGTGCTCCCCTCTCTCTGGGCACTTGGCTGTGTCTTGGTATCAACAGGCCCAGGGCCAGGGCCTCCAGTTCCTCATTGGGTACTACAAAGGGGAGGAGAGAGCAAAAGGAAACATCTCTGATCGATTCTCAGGGCAACAATCTGATGACTACAGCTCTAAGCTGACCATGAGCTCGCTGGAGTGGAAGGACTCTGGGCTTTATCTCAGCCAGGCTAGGAAAACAGTGGAATCCAGGAGTGGAAGGGGAGGGGACTCTAGGGGTAAGGGAATTTCTGCCCTTAATAGAGAAGAATATGAATGCATGAGATTGTGGATAGTGAGCCACTGGGAGGCTCTGTGGACCCACAGTACTGCAAGCTACCTGGGAGGGGTTGAAGGAGTGGCCCAGGAGAAGACAGTTTAAGGGAACTTTGGGGCTACATGCCTGCACTGGGGGAGCAGTTTGAGGTCATCAAACAGGCAAGTGCCTGTGGGCCCTGGGGCCTGTGGAATTCACAGACTCCTCACTGCCCAGCAAGTGCACAGGTGCTTGAGCATTCTTATGAACCAAGGAGGCAGCCTCCCTGAGGCAGACTTCCCCGCCCCCCCCCCCAGGGGAAGGGAGAATACAGGGGCTGGGGTCACAAGGGCTGGGAAATTAGGGTGAGGCAGGGGCAGGTAAAGGAGAATAAGGTAAATTGTAGGCATGTGGGCACAGCTCTACCTGCAGCCACCCTTTGCAGAGGGCTGTGCAGGACAGGGAATGGTGAATAGAGTAGCTGCCCCTGGGACCAAGGGGTACAGAGGACCAAGAGGGGGCCCACATGGAGAGTCACACAGAGCAGGGAAGACATCAGAGCAGTGATGTCATAGGCAAATGCTCCTATCAGGGACTGAGAGGTAGAGAACTTTAGAGGGCTCACCCCAGGAGCTCCTCCCTGAGCTAGGAGATGTCTGGGATGCTGCCATGGTCTCTAGACTTTTCTGCTGTGTGGCCCTTTGTCTCCTGGGAGCAGGTGAGCTCTGGGCACAGTGTGTGAGCCTCTGATATGGGTTTGCCATCCCTGAAATACAAGCCTGCTGGTGGTGGCGGTAGCAGGATACTTCCTTGTGCCCTTCCCTGAGCTCCCTCTGTCTCCTTTCTAACAGGCCCAGTGGATTCGGGAGTCACTCAGTCCCCCAAACACCTGGTCAAAGCAAGAAAACAGCAAGTGACACTGAAATGTTCCTATATCTCTGGGCACCGCTCCGTGTACTGGTACCAACAAGCCCAGGACCAGGGCCCCCAGTTCCTCATTGAGTATTTCAACGGGAAGCAAAGTACAAAAGGAAACATCCCTGACCAATTCTCAGTGCAACAGTTCAGTGACTATCGCTCTGAGCTGACCATGAGCTCCCTGGAACTCTCGGACTCGGCCCTGTATCTCTGAGCCAGCAGCAAAGACACAGCCCTGCATGCTAGGCAGCCTGCTGTACAAAAAGGTTCCTCCCCAGCTCAGGAAGTGACCGACCACGAGGGTGGCAGCTGCCAGCCACACAGGCGCAGGCCGGGGCAGAGCAGAATGCCTCTCCCAAACATCCTGCTGCTGCTTACAGATGTGATGTGTATTTATGCTCACAGAAATCATGCCACAGAAGTACTTCTTTACCCGTTTCTCTATCTGATGGTAGAGAATATGAGACATTCCCAGGTCTCATATTTCATAACCGGCAGAGCAAGAAATCAAACTCAAGTCTGTTCCTCTACTCCCGTGGTTGTCCCCCAGCCCCCAGCACTGTCCCATATCTGGCTTCCCTTTTCCAGGTCCAGATTATAGGCCTGGGAAGATCTCACATCATCTGTGCTTGTTGTAACCTCTCCCCTGACAGCTTCAGGAACATTTGACTTCAAGGCAACACATATCCATTGACCCTTCATTGTCACGACAAAGAAAGGCACTATTTTCTACAGTGTAGCCACCCCCCCACCCCACCAAGGCTGTTTGACATCTTTCATGGGGGCTGTGTGAGCAGAAAGCTTTCCGGATGTGCTTTCCCAGCTGCAGCACAAAGGGAATGAGATATTCGCCATGAGAACAGTCTTCCTTCATGGGACACAGTGGCCACAATGGGAAGGAAGAAGAATAACTGTTACTCCTTCCTTTGTCCTTTTTGTTCAATAATTTCTGCTCCTATATTTTGTACAAGGAATTGTATCACATAAAACAGAAAATAAAAATTTCTGGGTTTTTTTTGCCTTTGAGAGTTTTAAGGTTTACGTTGTAAAGTCTACTGATTTAAATGTGAATCTCATCCAAAAACACCCTCACAGAAACACCCAGAACAATGTTTGACCAAATATTTGTGCCCCTCAGGGTCCAGTCCCACTGACACATTAAATTAACCATCAGACCATCTCCCAGGGTTGTATAAAGACACAATAAGGTTAAAATAGGACATAATTGGAATCTGGATCTTGAGTCCCTTTTTACTCTCTGACAGTTTTTCCTACCATATCTGATGTGCAAAGTAGATACAGACACACTTTGTCTAGAAACCCTATAGTTTAGGATTTTAGAAGTCACAATATGGAAATATTTATGCCTGATGATCCATTAGATGACGTTCACTAGAGCATGTAACATACATCTGTCCTTAGGCATTTAAATAACTATTACTGATGTGAATTATATACTATAAATATTACATACTTTAAGTGAAGAGAGCAATGACTTTTGAGTAATATAGAGGGTGTCCTAAAAATGTACACATCACTTTGAATAATTATTAATTCCATTGGTTTAAATCTGAAAAGAAAGAAACATGAATTGGGCCATCAGCTGTTAAAGTGTGTATACATTTTGGGGGACACCAGATATCTATAATGATAAAAGGACAATATGCTAATTAGACCAGACATCCTTCAAGAGGAAGCCGGGGCTGTGATGGAAGCCCAGATCCCAGGTGCCAGAGGGAAGCCAGTGCCAGCAGCCAGGGGAAGGAAGGCCTACTCTTGCACAAATTTCATGTGCCAGGCCTCTACTATAGATATAAATGCTTTTAACACTTCCTCATAAAGCTGGAGAACATTTTCATCACCCAGAGGGTTCTCTCATGCCCCTTTACAATGCTTCAATCCATCACTAAAAACCAATGACATGATTTCTATCTCTAGAGATTAGTTTTGCTTAGGCATCTTTTTAATATACATTTATCATCTCTACCTATTAAAACAAACCCTCATTAGTGCATAGCTAAGAACTTAAGAGCATGAGGTACTCCTGGAGAACATTATGGACAAAGACACCTGATCCAGGTCAGCAACAATTCTACCTGGGGCTAGATGGTTTGATAGAATGACACTCAAAAGGTCTTTCCAGCTGGTACAGCTATTTTTATAAAATGTAATTACTGATTTTCACTCATTTCTTGTCTCATGCACCCATCATTCCAATTACTTTGTAATGATATTTTGACAAAAAGTCATCATATCTAAGGAAATGCTTTTGAGTTCCCATCAGATGCACAGGTAGCCTGGGTCATGGTCACACATTGTGAGCTGGTGCTGAGGTCCATGGGAAAGTGACTTCATGGAGAGATCATTTTACATTGGGAAGAGGGTTCCCTTCACCTTGACCTCAGTGTCTAACCCACAAAACAGGAACCTTGAGCTGGAAAATCCCCCTTTGTGTTCTGGGCTTGTGTGGGCGACAATATTCTGTGCTGTGTGATCTTCTGTGTCCAGGACCAGAGATTTCCTGGGGATGAACATGGATCCCATTTTTGGGCAGGCCAGGCCCCAATTCAAGGCTTGTTGCTGTGCTTCCAACATCAGGCTCCTCCTCCAGTTCTGATTTTAAACTCTGTGTCCTCTTCTCCTAGGCCTGGATGTGGTTGTGCTAAAGGGAAATCAGCACCCTGGGAGGTGACCACGGATTTGAAACTAAAATTCATGTACTTGAGACCTGCTACACAACTGGCAGAGTCTGTGGTCCAAATAGTAATACTTTGAAGATAATGAGGGCAGGGCATTGAAGCAAGGGTGGGGTCCTTCTAAGCATGGAACTGTATGTAGATTAGCTACAGGGTTTTTAAGAGCCATTATTTATTATTTAATTAATGTCAGTGATACTT